CTGCCTGCTAATCTGTTCCTGCTGCTTCCTCATGAAATAATGAAAAAGGAGGGGCAAGTGCACCAAAGCATAATAAAAAGTAATAGTTTCAGACAGAGTCCTCTGCCCATCCTCCTTCCCCAGCCTGCACGGCTTTGCTTCCTGGAGTAAGCACATGTGACTCACTTCTCCCTGATCCTGCCCCTGAGCTCACAAGCTTGGAACCAGCTCTGCCACTTAGTACCCAGGCTCTTTCCTGCTAATCAATTCTGACCTTCTGTTTTGAAGTTTAAAAGCCTCCAAAGCCTCTTTGGACATCAAATAGCTCCAACCAAATGCCATTTGGACAATTTAAATGCAAATGAATTGGCAATATTTGGTCTGCTTCCAGTTAACTTGCATGCACTTTCCCAAAAGACAGGGACAACGATACAAGACCAGCCTTTCGTCCTGAACTATGTGGTATCAAAATAAAATTGCACGGACACTTGTTAAAAATGGCAATACAAAAATTTTGTTGTTCTTGCTCAGGCTACTGTGACAGAAGAAAGATCTTCAGAAAATTAAACTCAACTCTACTGAAGAAAAATATCAGAGCTGGGGTGTTTCTTTAGCTTTACAAAAATGGAGTGGAAAATTGCTATGGAAAATTGGTAGGGAAATGGGTCAAAGTGAGGCCATCTGCATTTGCTAATTTTTCCTTAATGAGCCTTGACTCCTGTCCTTTCATAAAGAATGGGAATGGCAATGCTATATACTTTCATGGTCATGTGTTTCCAGGTCCTTCAGGAAGGCGTTTTTGTTTGTTTGTGAAGTGGCAACAGGTTAGACGTCTTTTATATTTCAAAAGGTCAGGGAAATAATTTAAACTTACAATTCCTCCAAATTAAACATTCCCAGAAAAGTAAAAAAACACCTTATTGTCAGGGGAAAATTTGTCTAAATTTAACCAAGATAAGGAAAAATTGGTTAGTGGTCTTCAAAATGGAAAATAAAATCTAGTGTTTGGACTTATTGTACTTTGAATATTGCCTGCTTTGGTTTCAAATTGAGCAGATGTATTTTCATTCACAAAAGGAGCAGTGCCACATCCCCAGGAAGATATGTATGCACACACACACACACACACACACACACACACATATACACACACAGACACACACACACACAGATGGAAGAAATCAGATCTTCGATTTCATCTGATATTAATTGTGAAAGTAATCTTGAAAAATTGCATTTATGGTTTGAGTATCAGTTTTGTCTGTGAAGTGAGGAACCTGGTGTCTCTGGCTCCCTAAGGACCATTTCAGATCTCTGGTTTTTCTGATTATATGATTCTTCACAATGCTGTTAAGGAAAAAATTACACTTAACTTGAAGATTCTTAATGGACATTTGAAAAGACTGTCAAGGAGAGGAATGAACACTACTTAAGTGGATGGGGTAACAAACAAGGAGCCAAATTCTTGTCAGACTTAAAATAACAGATTCTATGTTCCTCTTTGGTCTCTTGGTAAATAAATTTGTATACATATACATATTAAATGTTAGTCATTTGCAGGGAGTCATTATAATGTTCATAACTAATAGTCATCTGATACTTTTGAAAGTACCTAGACACTGGGTGCTTACTACAAACCTGTTCAGTCCCTAGATGACTCCATTTGATAAGCACTGTTTTTTCTATTTTACATGAGATGGAACTGCTCACATTCTCACAGCATTAAAGTGAAGTTACTGAGATGTAAAAGGAAGCCTTCCCGCCAGCCTGGTTCCAGAGCTGCATCAGTCGCCAATAAACACACAGGAGGCTATATTAATTATGAAGCTGTTGCCCTTGCTTGTTTCTTACTGACTATCTCTGACTTAAGTATTTATCCCATAATTGTTAATCTAAGTATTTCTCTTACCGGAGAAATTTCCGGGCTTCCTACCGCATGACGGTTACATCTCGACTTCTGTGTTTCTCGTTTCCGGAGTCCTCCTGGACTCCTAGTCCCACCTATCTTGGTTCCCTATTGGCCAACAGTGCTTTATTGACAAATACACAGGACTTCCCCAACATCTCCTCTTTTCTGTTTACACAAAAAGAAAGGTCTTAACTTTAACATAGTCAAATTATATATAACAGAACCATCATCAAGTAAGAACACAGTTACAATATTTTAACAAGACTTAAAGAAAATATCATCCATCCCATCCTTGTGAGTTCAAAGTTCTATATGTAGCATATCTTTTATCATAACTAAGGAAAACTATAACTATCTACCTTCAACTCTATCAAAGACCACAGAAAGATATTATATAAACACTAGAATTGACACAGACATCTTGCTACCTGAACAGTCACCTGATGTTCCTCTGTAAAGTTGGGGCATCCATCTTCAGCCCATAGGCCACAGTGTGTCCACAACATTTCTCAGCAAAGCAGGAAATTTCAAACTGTCCATCTGCATTGGCAGTCTGTCACTCATTTTTCTGTGTCCTCAGAAAGTCTCATAGAGTCTTTCATGAAGCAGGAACCCTCAAGGACTGTTTAAGTTCAGCAGTCACTTTCCTGTGGGCCCTGCATGTCCAGTTTATAGAGCAACAAAGAGTCCAGACAAGAGCAGTTTCTTGCCCAAATGGCTAATCTTGCCATATCGAAAGCAATCTCCATCATGAGTTTCTTCGATGCCCATCTCAGACATAATTGGTGCTGCCAGGAGCAGACATTTCTCATTGTCAAGAAAAACCCTAAACCATTTTAAATGCCATTTTCTGAAGGTCTTTGACAGTTTTGAAGACTATCTATCTCAAATATATTTCTGTATATCTTGAAAACCTAACTTGCCTAACTATAAGTTCTGACTATTATAAGTAACTATCTATAGTCTGTATTTAATTATGTATTTTTTTAAAAGATCAGTATAAGCACAATACTTAATCAAGAGGAGAAATATACACATCACAAAATTGACCTTGAATTTGTGTCAATAAATGAAAAACCATACCCATGCCATAATTCCCATTTTTACCATTAAAAAGAGATTGGCTGTGATCATTAGCCAATTATAAACAACCCCATTTAAATGAAAACAAAGATTTATAAACAAGATGGGAATTAGGACGTCGCTCATTCCAAACTGCTTCATGCTGGAAGGGTCGCTGTTCATACCATGAGGATCATGACAAAACTCAGAAACCTGTATAAGTCCTCATTTTCGGGGTCTGTAAGACTGCATCATCTTAGCTGTTTCAATTGTTGGAACACCTGGTCCACTGCTTCCGGTGGTCTTGGTTCATCAAACCACAGAAGCCTGGAAGGAATCCTCAGCTTTTCATTTTCTGTAGAAACATAAACAAAAACTCCTTTCCCAAGTAACATATCCTTATACTTAAATTTTGAAGTCAAGGTATTTTCAAAAGATATAAGTTGAATTAATTCAGTAGCATTTATAATCAAGTGTACTTCAACAGTTGTTCCTTCCTGAGCAATCAAAAAACTGAAAAACACAATACCATACAGTATCCAGACTCTCTGTGTATTTTCCATCTTTACTTGGCTTATTTATTTATCGATTATTTCTCTATTTCTTTTACTTTTATTTATTTTTCTCTGACACAGGGTTTCTCTTTGGAAATCCACCTGCCTCTGCCTCTGCAGCAAATCCTACCAGCGTGCACCACCACAGCCAGCTTCTCTGATTACCGCCATGACCTTTCTTTTTCTCTCCCAATCTTAAGTATATTTTTAAACACACTGTAAACCTTTAGAGGTTTTTCTTCATCCAAGTCTGACTTTAATGTAAATCTTTATGTTTTTCTGGCCACGTGTCTTATCTGTTAAAACCACGGCTGTTTAAACTGCAGTGTTCCCAAGATGGCAGGTGTAATCGTGATTCCAGTTTACTGTCTCAGTCTATGCTGAGATCCAGCAAAAGCTGGGGATGTGGTCACTGCCACTTCCAGCTGTATGTACACACCTTTCAATAGTTAGAAGAGCCTCTTAAAAGAACCTTCCTGGTGTTTTTTTGTTTGTTTTTTTTGTTTTTGTTTTTTGTTTTTGTTTTTTTTTTGCTTATGCTGAGTCAGGAAGACTCTCTTAAGCAAATCGCATGAGTCTAGCTAAACAGAGCCCACCTGAGAAAATGCTGCTACCAAAAATCTGTGCTTCTCTCCATTCTTCTGTTTCTAACATTCCTTTAAAGCCTTTGTCATTCTACATGGAAATTCGTCATCCAACTCCTAATCACCATTATGTAAAGGGAAGCATTTTCCTTGAGAGAAGCCTTCCCACCAGCCTGGTTCCAGAGCCGCATCAGTCCCAAATGAACACACAGGAGGCTATATTAATTATGAAGCTGTTGGCCTTGCTTGTTTCTTGTTGGCTATCTCTGACTTAAGTATTTTCCCCATAATTGTTAATGTAAGTATTTCTCTTACCGGGGAAATTTCCAGGCTTCCTACCCCATGGTGGTTACATCTCGACTTCTGTGTTTCTCCTTCCCAGAGTCCTCCTGGACTCCTAGTCCCACTTATCTTGGTTCCCTATTGGCCAACAGTGCTTTTTTGACAAATACACAGGACTTCCCCAACACTGAGACACATCCATAAGCATTTTGTCTAACAATAAATTGAGGGCTAGTAGTAAGACAATCCTGTGGAGGGGGTAGAGAATGACCTGCTCATTGTCTTAAGTTGTGATAGTTTCTTGTATTATTTTCTTTATTCATATGTATATGTATATTTACATTTTATATATATTTATGTTTAAGCATGTGTGTATATAGTGACAAAACACTTTTGTTTCCATTTGCAAGAAATTTGTTTTTATTATGTCTTTTTAAAAAATAGTATTTATTTTACATCTTGACCCCAGCTTTCTGAACCTCCTCTCATCCCAGTTACTGCCATCTGACATACCCCTCTGCCACTTCCATTCACTCCTCTTCCATTTCACGTTTCCAAGAATACCATAAGGGTGCCAACAGTCCTTAGGGTTCAGGGAAAAACTTACCCTGACTTAAAGGGGGTCCTTACCAAATCACAGCCGCTGTTGGATGTAAAATTTAGCGTTCTGGTTGATGGAAAGTCAGCTGTTGGTCCGATGATGCAGGTTGCCTGCGTGGTCACCTCCCGGGTCAGCAGGCAGCCAGAGCTGCAGGGAGAGCCTGTCCAGGTCAGGGAACCAATGTTTTTAAAATGTCTAGGTTTACTCAGTAACAAGACACAAACTGTGACTCAATAATCCATGTGGAGTGTATTGGTAGACAGGGAGGGAAAGGGGTTTGAGAGGGAACCAACCGGTGCAGAGCAGAGAGACAGACTGACAGACAGAGCAAGAGAGAGAGAGAGAGAGAGAGAGAGAGAGAGAGAGAGAGAGAGAGAGAGAGAGAGAGAGAGAGAGAGTATGAGAGTGAGAGAGAGGAGATGAAATGGAGAGTAAGATGAGATTAAGAGAATAAAAAGAGAGAGTAAAAGAGAGCGTAAGCAGGCAGGGGTCAGTCCTTTAAAGGGGTCCTTTACACCTGCCTGGTTCTCACAGAACTCTGGGCTGGCCAGAGAACTCCCTGAGTGCATGTTGCCAGGTAACTGGTCAGGCCAGCATAATGCCTGAACCTTTCAGCTAGACCCTTCCCCATATGTCCAGGCTGAGAGAGCAACCATCCATGTAGTATGGGCTCCCAAAGTCCATTTGGATGCCAGGGATAAATACTGATCTATTGCCCAAAGGCCCCAAAAAATGCCAAGACCTCCTCACTGACACTCACATTCAAGGGGTCTGGATCAGTCCCATGCTGGCCTCTCAACTACCAGTCTGGGATCCGTGAAATTCCCCTTGTTCAAGTCAGCTCTTTCTGTGGCTTTCACCAGCCCATTCTTGACCCTACTGTTCATTGCTCCTCCCACTCTGCAACTGGTTTCCATGAGTTCAATTCAGGGAGTAGCTGTGGGTGTCTGCCTCTCCTTCCATCAACCATAGGCTCTAGGTCGGCATACAAGGCATACAAGGAAGTTGTCTATCAGGGAATGGCATTTAAGGTAGCCTCTCCACTATTAGTTGGTGTCATCCCTGCAGATCTCTGGAAATCTCACTAGTGCCATATCTGTCCTCAAAACTAGAGTGGCTACCTGTATTATGGTATTTCCCACCCTGCTCAACTATATTCTTCCCCTGATTCAAACTATTTACTCCCCAATGACCTCATCTCCATTCCTTTTTGACCCCTGTCTTCCTTCCAGCTCCCTCTCACCACCCTGCATGCTCCTATTCCACTTAGGACATTCTGTGTCATTCCCCTTCTATGGGAACCATGCATATCTCTCTTAGAGTCCTCCTTGTTTCCCAGATACTCTGGCAGTGAGATTGTAAGCTAGCACTCCTTTGTTTCATGTATAAAATCCATATATGAGTGAGTACATACCATGTTTGTCTTTTTGTGACTTGGTTACCACACTTAGGATGGTTTCTTCTAGTGCTATCCATTTACCTGCAAATTTCAAGATTCCATTGTTTTTTTTCCCTGCCGAGTAGTACTCCATTATATAAATGTACCACATTTCCTCTGTCTACTCTAAAGTTGTGGTGCATCTAGGTTGCTTCCAGGTTCTGGCTATTACAAATAATGCTACTATGAGCATAGTGGAATAGGTTTCTTTGTTGTATGAATGTGCATCTTTTGGTTGTTGGAGTGGTCATTGTTATTTAGGATCTCTTGTAAATACTGCCAGCTCTTTTAAGAATTTCGTTATCAGCCTTACTGCCCTTTCCAATTCTTTGATAAGAAGAACCTGGTCTCACAGGAATAGCTGATAGAAATCTACAGTTAGGTTATTTAACAACCTTTCTCCCTGCAATTAGGTTATTTAGCAACTCCTCAAACCCAGAGACCTTTACCCTACTAACACCTTGATTATCTTCATCTACATTCCTGCAGCTCAGCTTCAGGGGTGGTCTGCCACTATCAACACCCCTCAGTATTTGACCAAAAACACTCCTTGGTATGTGACCAAGAGGCCAGATGCCAGATTACCAGGCTCCAATCTACCCCCCCCCCCGTCTCCATACCCCAAATTCCCACCCTAACTAGTATATAACATGCCTAAGGAAAAGAAAATCTTGCTGCTTGATCAGAAAGCCTGTCTTGCTGTCATTTTCTTTTATCTTTTGTCACACCATTCCAGGTTACCATGCTCCCAAGTACCTTTTTGCCCTGCTGGCATTTGTGTACACGCCTAAGAGTGGAATCATTGCATCTTGTGGTAGACTGATTCCCTTTTTCCTGAGAAATCTCCATACTGATTTCCAAAGTGTATATGAGTTGGCACTCCCACCAGGAGTAGAGGAGAAATCCCCTTTCTCCACATCCTCTCCAGCATAAACTGTCATTGGTGTTTTTGATTTTAGCCATTCTGACAGGAGTGAGATGGTGTCTTAGAGTTCTTTGGATTTGCATTTCCGTGATGGCTAAGGACATTGAACACTTTCTCAAGTGTCTCTCAGCTATTTTAGATTTCTTTATTGATTATTTTCTATTTAGTTCTGTACCCCAATTTTTAACTGGATTCTTTACTTTTTTTGGACCCTTGCTTCTTAAGTTCTTTGTAATGTTTGGAGATCAGACCTCTCTCAGATGTGGGATTAGTGAATATCTTTTCCCATTCTGTGGGCTGCCTTTTTGTCTTGCTGGCTGTGTCCTTTGCCTTACAGAAGCTTCTCAGATTCAGGAGTTCCCATTTATTTATTTATGTATTTATGTATTTATTTATTTATTTATTTTTGGTTTTTTGAGACAGGGTTCCTCTGTATTGTTTTCGAGGCTGTTGGCCCAGCCCGGCCTCGAACTCACAGAGATCTGCCTGCCTCTGCCTCCCAAGTGCTGGGATTAAAGGCGTGCACCACCACCGCCCAGCTCCCATTTATTAATTGTCGATCTCAGCATCTATGCTACTAGTTTTATGCTCAGGAAGAAGTCTCATGAACCAATTCCTTCAAGGGTACCTCCCACTTTATCTTCTAAGAGGTTCTGTGTGGTCATATTTATGTTGATGTCTTTGATCCATTTGGACTTTAGTTTTCTGCATGGCAATAGATATGGATCTATCTGCAGTCATCTACATGCCAATATCCAGTTCTGCCAGCACCATTTGTTGAAGATGCGGTCTTTATTCCATTGTATGATTTTATATTCTTTGTCAAAAGTCAAGTGTTCATGGGTGTGTGTGTTTATATCGGGGATTTCAATTTGATTCCATTTGTCTTCCTGTCTGTTTTTGTGCCAGTTCCAAGCTGTTTTCAGGACTATAGCTCTATAATGAAGCTTGAAGTTAGGGATGGTGATGCCTCTGGAAGTTCCTTTATGGTACAGAGTTGTTTTGGCTATACTGGATCTATTTTTTATCCATATAAAGTTGATTATTCTTCTTTCAAGGTCTGTGAAGAATTATGTTGGGAATTTGATGAGAAATGCATTGAATCTGTAGATTAATTTTGACAAGATTGCCATGTTTACTATGTTGATCCTACCTTTCCAAGAGCAAGGGAGGTCTTTCCATTTTCCAGTGTCTTCTTTAATTTCTTTCTTTAAAGACTCAAAGTTCTTGCTTTACAGGCCTTTCATTTGTTTGGTTAACATTATCCCCAGATATTTTTTGTTGTTAGTGGAGATTGTAAAGGGTGATGTTTCTCTGATTTCTTTCTCAGCCCTTTTTTGTCAGTACTAGTAGTGCTACTGATTTTCTTGAATTGATCTTATGTCATTCACTTTGCTGAAAGTATTTATCAGCTGTAGGAGTTCCCTGGTAGAGTTTTTTGGGTCACTTATGTAAACTATCATATCATCTGCAAATAATGAAAGTTTGACCTCTTCCTTTCTTATTTGTATCCGCTTGATCTCTGTTGTTATGTTGCTCTAGCTAGAACTTCAAGCACAATTTTGAAGAGATATGGAGAGAGTGGACTGCCTTGTCCTGCTCCTGATTTTAGAGGAATCGTGTTGAGTTTTTGCCCTTTTAGGTTGATGTTGGCAGTTGGTTAGCTACACATAGCTTTTATTATGTTGAGTTATATTCCTGTTACCCTGATCTCTCCAAGACCTTTATCATGAAGGGGTGTTGGATTTTGTCACATGCTTTTTCAGCATCTGGTGAGATGACCATGTGATTTTTGTTTCTCAGCTTGTTTATTTGGTGGATTCCATTGACAAATTTTTGTATGTTGAACCTTCCCTGCATCCCTGGGATGAATTCTACTTTATCATGGTGGATGATTGTTCTGATGTGTTCATGCATTCGATTTGCTAGTATTTTATTGAGTATTTTTGCATTTATGTTCATGAGGGAAATTGGTCTATAGTTCTCTTTCTTAGTTGTGTCTGTGTGTGTCTTTGATACCAAGGTAATTTTAGCCTTGTAAAAAGAGTTTGGCCATGGTCATCTTGGTTCTATTGTATGGAATACTTTGAGGAGTACTGAGATTAACTCTTCTTTGAATTTCTGGTAGAATTCTGCACTGAAGGCATCTAGTCCCATGCTTTTTTTGGTTGGGAGACTTTTGACAACTGCTTCTGTTTCAATAGGGCCTATAGGTCTGTTTACTTATCTGATCTTGATTTAATTTTGTAAGTGATATCTATAAAGACAATTGTCCATTTCCTTTAAATTTTTGAATTTTATGTAGTAAAGTTTTTCAAAGTATGGCCTGATGATTCTCTGGATTTCCTGAGTGTCAGTTGTTATGTCCCCCTTTTCATTCCTGATTTTTAATTTGCACTTCTCTCTCTGCCTTTTGATTATTTTCCATAAAGGTTTGACTATCTTAATGATTTTCTCAAAGAACCCACCAACATCATTCCTCCAGAGTCTGTCAGTTCATCCAGGGCGTGACCTAGGCCCTTCCTCATGTGTCCAGGCTGAGAGAGCATCCCTCTATTTGGAATGGACTCCCAAAGATCATTCATACATTATGGTAAACACTGATCTACTACCCAAGGCCCCAGTTATTTCTGTGGCCTCCTCACTGTGACTACATTCATGGAGTCTGGATCAGTCCCCTGTTGGCCTCTCAGCCATCAGTCTGGGATTCAAAAGCTGTCTTTGTGGGTTTCACCATCGTGGTCTTGACCCCTTTGCTCATCACTCCTCCATCTCTGTCACTGGGTTTCAGTAGTTCAT